CAAAATATCTCCTCCATGGAGTGTCCCTACAGGAATAGGGAGAAGAAATTAGCTTAGGATGTGTATTGACACCAAAGCCTCCCGTAGAGTTTGAAGGATGTTTTGCAAAGATTTCTTCCCCACTTCAAGGGGCATTCTATAGTGTGAGAGAGAGATGATCCAGCCGTAAGAGAACTGCTGGTGGGGGTGAGGTTTAAAAATGTGATGCAAAGGAAGACTTAAAGTCATGTTGGGCATACACTTTCTGAAGGTTGGCTAGAAAAGCACCTGACATTCCAGTGGGTTCTCAGCAGAAGCAGTCTGCCTTACGCCTCCTCTAGGATAGGCTTTTGGTTTCTTTCTTCCTGAATAGCAAGATCCATAAAAAAAATCACTGAATGAAGATCTTCTATGACAGAAGTTTTACATTGCAAATTACTCAGCGAGGTATAAAAGAGAAACCTCAGCTGCTCAAAATTGTATCTTAAATTTGGTTTATTTGGTTTGGTTTATTTTCAGCCTTGTGACTCAATGGAGTAAACGCTCTATGTGAAATCGAAAGTAAAATCTGGTCAGGTTTAAAATCGGATTCAGGGATTTCAGCTCCTGAACTAACTTTTTACTTTGCCTCAGAATACCACATTATTATGTGTGTGTCAGAGCGAGCCCAATGTGCCAAAGAAAAAACACATGGAGAACTGGGAAGAGGAAGTAGGCTACACGTTTTAAATATAAAAGCAGTACAGGATGTTGAGACAGTGGCATTAATAACTAAATATAAAAATTTGCATCCTAAAATGCTAGATTTTCTGTTTCTACCTGTCTACATTTTCAGTCTGTGACAGATTGTAGATTTTGTTATACCTGGAGACCTTGAGGAGGGTATTTGGAGGATTTTATGAGCATTTTTATGCAGAAAATCATTCCAGTTATATACTGAATCTTCTGTTTCTGAGTAAGGAATGCTGGAGCAAGTACATGACAGACAATCAGGTTCAGACATTATTGAAGCCTTCAGGTTGCCTTTACTCTGATCATTTTAGGCTTCCATGAACTGCAGGGCCTGTACCCATGGAACTAACCACTGAAACTCTTCTGTGGTGTTCTGTCAGCAAAGCTGGTCCTCGTACTGAAAGTGATTGTGCAAATGTGGTACCTTGCAGAAGTGCATGGAGATGATGTTGACGTCAGTTTTGTCGTTTTGTGCCTTTTATTTTTTTTTTTCTTTTAAGCAATACATTGAGAATAATAATGAGGAAGTGCTCATCTAACTCATTCACAAGGTTCTACCTGCCATCCCTTACGCTCAATGAGTATGTGAGGGCACTGTTAGGCGTATGTGCATGTAAATTACCTCTAACTGCACATCTCTATTATAGGCAATTACACTAATGTGCTGGAATGATACATTTAGTGTCTCAGAAGATAGAAACTGGGTGGAGGGCAGACTGATTTGAGGATCAATCTGGATGAAACAAAGAATGGTATTTATTTGGCAGATCGCTGGGGAGAGCTGGCTAAAACTGCAGAATGAGATAATATTAGCCATTTGATAAGTGAGGTTTGCTATTATTTGGTAGTCTTATTTGCTTTTTTTTTTTTTTAATAATAATAATAATGCTTGTGTGTTTCTAGGCTAAGATTGGGAACTCCTGCTGTCTCTCTGTATAATTTGTCATTATGAGTTGGCAACCAAGGAATGTGCTAAATATTTAGAATCTGTGCCTCAATTCTGCTGTCAGAATTTGGGTTCGCTTGCTCATATGTACAAGAAAGACCTCAAAATGGCTACCTGTGAGCAAGAAAAGATGATGTCAGCATTGTCTATGTGGTTTCCAGCAAAACTATGAAGTGTCTGGTTTTGGATGCGAGGAATTCATTGCACTTGCATCTCTATGTATTCACCTCTGTGAATTTAAACTCCTGAAATACTTCTTGAGAGACAGTTTTAGTTGGCTACAAAAAAAAAAAAAAAAGGCTGAATCATAGCAGAAAAACTTTTTGGTTTGTTGGATGTTTGTTCCATCCTGGCTGGCTTTGAGTGTTGAGCTAAATTCTGAGAGTTTTCATGTTTGAGGCTCAAATGCTTTAATTGGAAGTTATGGGAATAAAGTTCTCTCTACTACAACTGCTGTCAACACAGAGCCTTGAGATGTGGAGAGAAAAAATTCTTGATTAAAAGCACCAACAACCCCCTTGACTACCTCCTTCCAGGGTATCGCCATGACTATGATTGCTGCTGCTGCTTGTTTGTGTTGTAGACTCACCCTTACCGTAAGAGTATTTGGGAAGAGACAGAGAAAAATTGTATGAAGTTACCTATGAACAAGCAAGTGACATGTGTGGTTGTATCACTAGCTAACGCTGATAATATTGCATGAGTGTTCTAGTTTTGTAATTGTGGATTTAGATGTTGTAAGTCTTGCAGCAAGATTGGGACAGAGGATTTTCACATTACTGGTTTCTATTTCAAATACACAGACTTGAGATGGCAGTGACATATTAGAGATTATTATCTGATAATACAACATATCTTGATCAGATCGACTTATACAGGTAATTTGTTCTACTGGAAGCAGAGAGAATCTAAATACAGAAAACAGGCTCATGAAAATGCATAGTGAAATGAAAGAAAATTAGAAAAAGTAAGCAATCCAGTTGTCTTCTATCTCTGTTACAATAAAGCATTAGTGCTAGTTTCCATGGCAGCTTAAAGAAATCCTGCACACTACAACTTAACACAGGACGCCCTGCAAATGTTGTAGTGGTCAGAAGTGATGGTCTCCCTTCTGGGAATAAAAGTGCTTGATAATGCTGACTGTGTGATGGTGACAGAGTGAGCACACTTCATAGTGTCACTGGTCACTGTGACGTGAAAGGGGCATAGGGCACAAGGCACAAGATCAAATGGCAGAACAAATCTGTGCGTATTTGTGGGATGCAGGGAGAAGAGGAAAGGGTGGATGGAGGGGAAAGAAAGATAACACTGCTCCCTGTATGGATAAAAGGCAAGAAGTCTTTATGTGCTTTCTGAAGAACTTCCATTTTACTCCAAGGACCTGCTCTTTATGGGGATTTGCTTTGCCTCCTACAGGCTGCTTTAAAGTTTTCACATTTTATTTTTGGCTGCACCATGAGAGGATTATTTCTTGATGTTTAATAAATGCAGAGAAGAGATCCAAAGGGCTACGCACGCGCACACACACACACACATATGCGTGCAACGTAGATGTCCAGCAGATAAGTGCAGCATTTTGTTTACAAGGAGATATTACACTGGAAATCCTATTAGCAATCAGACAGTCTGCTGGCTGGATTTAATAAACTTCAACCAAAGGAGTTATTCAAGATGGCATATTAACCCCCTAAGGGCTTGGTTTTACACTGTAGATGCAACCAAAACTTCCACCTACACCACATAGCCTGGAGGTAGATATGTTATATGCAGAAGCAGGGTTTTTCCAGCCCAACTGTTTAAAACCAAAATAGAAATTCACGGTGCCTCCAGGTAAGGCCCTTTTATTGCACTTACATCTGCAACGCAGGGATTCTGGTGTATTTTAAATTGTGCCTTGTTGTCACAAAATCTCACCCCAGCCCCAGATCTTAATGCCTACATCTTGTCACTGGAAAGGACAGAGGGACATATACTTTTACAGGGGACCGATTTGGAAAGGGAATGTAGGCAGACAGACTCCAACCCCTCATCATCCGCTCGTGTAAGACTTGCTGCACCATCATAGCTTAAAGACAACAAGCAGATGGAGAGAAGTAGGATGCAACATACACAAATTAAAAAGTCACAGATGTGGTAGGCACATATTCTATTAGATCTGTCTAGAGTTGCTTGAAAAATGCTGGGGATAAAAATTCAAGTGTTAGCAGAAAAAAAACACAGTGCTGCAATATGTAATATTTTAAACATCATCCTCACTTAATTCTTCTCAAGACTGGGGATATACGCAGGTGAAACAGAGAGGCTGGGGTTGGAAAACGCTGTGATGAGGACTACAAAGTTGAATGCACAGATCTGTAACATATAAAAGTTGTTTTTTATTTTAAGTGCCTGAGAGCTTGTGTCCTGAAACCTGTTGAGTGTTTGTTCTCTTACGTACTGTCTGCAAAGATCCTGCAATCTGTAATCAACTTGGAGATTCAAAACTTTAGTATTTTCAGTGAGTTGTTAGGTTAATTGAAAATATAGACTCTGGTCCTTAACAAGAAGATTCTGATCTGAATTTTGTTCTGGGCAAGTGCCTCATTATCACAGGATTAGAAAATGCTAGAATGATGCAATACTTTATTTCTTTTTTACTTCTCCTTTTTTAATTCTTTTTTCTAGCCTTTATCTATCATGCATTTTGAGCTATTATCAGCGCTTGCACTCACAGTTTATGACTCCCAGTGTATTTAAAGTCAGTCCTCTCCCCGTCTGCATTTCTAACTGTATATCTTTTCCTGAAGATGAATCATTTAGCACCATCACTCTGATTTTCATTCTCTTTTACTCTCTGTGAACTGAGTTGGTTTGACAAATTCTGATGCTGCCTGAAAATATCTGGCTTCGTTTTATAATATTATTTATTTTTATAGCCAAAAGCCTAGCAGGTGAAGAAAAAAAATGACGACAATTTGGTAAATAATGAACACAGGGATGACATATTGTTTTTCTGCAATGAGGAATAAATGCACTTTATTAAGTGACCTTTCCTCCAGTGGCTGCCAAGAAATTGGAGATAATAAAGCTTTTACTTGCAGAGGAATTTAGTTGAGAGAAGGTATAGCTTAAAAGAAAGGTCCATTGCTTTATTAAAACCTTGTTGCAGTGACATCAGTATGAGACAAAGTGTATTATTGAGACTATTTGTATTGCAGTTTGGTCTTTCTTTAAATTTCTTTATTTTTGTAAATCCTCTGTTTTAATTACTGTTGCAAATGAAAGTTTAATTCCCCACCCTGATACTTTTCTAATTTGGAAATGCTTATCCTGTGTCTTGCTTTCCTCTTCCTTTTCTTTTCAGGAGATGCAGCTTACTTGCTGTGAACTGCCCTGGGCTGGTGCGTGCGTGTGAGTGCCAGCTGCTCATGTTTAGCATCGAATCCTTGTGCGATCACAAGCAACTTAATCAGCTTTGCATCTAAAGGGGTTACCATCACTGATGACCGACAGACATCTTTCCACTGGTTTCAGTATATTAAAAGTCCAATTGAAAGTGGCAGGATGGCTGGGAGAGGATGAGGTGATTCTCTGTGTATGAAGATGAGTGCAGTGATGAATCTTTGGTGTGGGTGACCTCTAGGAAAGAGTCATCCCTCTTGTAGGCTGTGCCCAGAGTGATTGCACAACTAAGGCACTTCTATTGTCACCCTATGTTTGTATGGTTTAAAGCTTTTATATGGCAGGTGGGAGCTTCAGTTCTAGGAGAAGGTTTCTTTGGATATAGTTGTATTATCTTGCATGAGAGGACAGAAGGTTTTGGCTCAGTAACTGGAGATACTCTTGGTCTCGATGGGTGAAATTCCCTTCATGCACTTTGTTTCTTTCCACAATTAAGAATATCTTACGGTGGTATCTTCTACTCATGGAACTTGCACTCAGGGCCCAGAGATGTGAGTCAGCAGGAGCGAAACACCTCTTCTCACAGGGTGAAACGTGTTCCTTAACCTCGTGGTAGGGATGGACTAGCTTACATGCCAGGCTAATCATCCAATGGCCAATTCCTGGGGGAAGATAAAGCCGAAGCAGATCTAGCTGATGAGATCTATGGCCTTGCTGACATGAAAGAGAATAGATTAGGGACAAACTGTGCATTAGAAAATCTTGTTTGGACCCAGATACTAACTGCAGGTATATGTATGTATTGTAAAGGATGTCAGATCTCACCTTAAATATGTATGAATGAAAATGAGGTTGGCTACTGGTGAGGGAGACTGGTAAAGGAATCAGAATGTGAGCCCTCAAACCCATTTTGAAGATTTCCACCACCCCCTACCTTCACCCAAGTTACTAAAAGCATCAAGGTAGAGAAAAAGAATCAGAGATATAAAATGCAAGTCGCACTTTTTAATAGATTTTTCTTGCTTTTCCCCAAAGGGTTCAGCTGCAGAGAAAGAGTGGAACATAATAATCCTTAGCATTTATATAGCACTTTACATTTCCAAAGCTCTGTACAAACATTAACTGATCAATCTTCACAACACCCCTGTGAGTTAAGGATGTATGATTAACCCCGTTTTACATTGGGGGAAGCCATAACATTTCAGAGCCTGACTTCCCCATCCCTCCCGAGGTGTGTGGCTCTTGCCAATCCTGCTAGTTTAAACAGGAGCTGTGCCTGATGCTTCTGAACGCTGGGTGCTTCGCAACAGCCTCGGGGCTACATTGCCAGCCTGTGGCTGATGATCCAAAGGATCCGTCTTCCCTTCCCTGCTGTCTCCTGCTGATGCTTTTGCACACCTTTATCTTTCAGCCTCCTTGCTGGAGTGGTACTAGTGACTGGAATTTCAAGAGGCAAAACCATACCTGGTTGACATACCTATTTGAATATTGTAAAATCGTCTTTATTTGGAACCCCTAGGGAAAAGCCTATTACCCCAGTGTCTTTTCCTTTTTCTTCCTTTTATTTTCCTCTTTTTCCAAAACCTGGAGTGATTTAAAATGAAATGTAATCCTATATTGAGTGAAAGCATACAAACACAATGATATGTCTGCTACTCAATGCCTTTCTTCCCTTTTTCAATCTTGATAATTTTCTGTGTTTTAGGGAAAATGGCAAGTAGAGTAGGGGATTAATGCAAAAAATGCTTTTTTTTCCCCTAGCATAGAACAAAATAGATGTCTTCAACATGAAATCTTGGTGTAAATCGTTGAACTGTATTAGCCTTTTAATGCTTCCTTAGTTTATGTTCTCTGAACATGGGATACTTCTTACAGCCAAGCTCTGCTTTTGCAGGAAATGGAACTGTGAGGCAATGCTGTCATTTTGCTTGGCTCCTCGTTTTGCTCCTAGGCTTTGGTCACCCGCGCCACAGGTGCATCCACATTAAATCATGCTGGCTTTCCTTTAGGAAAAAGAAAACACACCCAAGTGTGGCCAGAAGAGATTTTTTCCAATGTCATGTCTTACAGTCAGGGATGGCTCCATGTAACGTGCAGCTGGATCACCAGGATGGGAGCAGACATTAACAGAGGACCTCAGCTTTACTGTACTCTGTACTGCAGAGCTTTGAGAAGAAACTTACTGCCACTTGGTCTTCATCATCAATGTTCACCCCTTTAGGCATCCTAATTAGCTTGAAGAATATTGAATCTAGTCAGGGTTTCTTGCTCTCCTCTATCTTAATTAGGTGTTAAGGAGGTAGAAAGAGGGTTCGAAATAAGATTGATGGAGAAAAGAGATGGATGACCAGTCCCCTGAACATGTATATGTTTGTTTGTTGGTAAAACAAGTTTAAGAATTTTCTCAAAGGTCATCGTTTTGAGTATTTTCTATGTATATTCATTATTTACTTACCTGGATACTACAGTAATAGGAAGCTCTGGATTCATACTCTATTTCTGGATGAAAACTGCTACTTCTTTGCTGGAATATGACCTGTGGCCTATTTCTTTTCATGTGTATTATTGAATCTTCTGATTTGGGAGCTGTGCAAAACAGCTTTTCATTCTGAATGCTAATCAAAAGGGTGCGTTAATTAAATATACTTCTAATGAAACTAGTTTGAAATGAGACATGAGGAGCTAGAGTCTGCCCCTTCTTAAGATAATGAAAGAGATTGAAAGGATTAAAATTTCTTTGGTGGGGAAGCTGGTGGCTGATTTAGGGATGAGCATTATTGTCATGAAAGCTTATAAAATAAGATCATCTTCTGATATCTGTTGTACCTGAAGTCAGCAGAGTCCCTCCAGATTTGCAGTGGTGGAAGAGAGGCTCTGCATTTGGGCCCCGACTACTTAAAAATATGTAGTTGCCCTTTAAGATGTAAATCTATTGAAATCCAACCTTAGACATTGCCAGGGTCACTCTGCTTATTACTTTATGACATTTCCAGATTAAAGGTGCAGTGGGGGCTCACATTAATTTGCTTTATGTTTGACTAGAAATGCTTCCCATCACTATTAGAGCACACTTGGAGCTCTCTTCATTTTAGAACGCTTGTCAGTCATTTGAGAATGATATGCCCTACGTCTGGGATGAATAAGCACATCATATATTAGGCAGAGGCTTTTTCTCTGGAGAAGCTCAAAAGAACTGACAACTACTTCCAAGAAGGTGAATAACATACACAAGGCCCAGCGGCTGAATGAGGGAGGAGTGAAGAAATATTCTGCTAAAACATAATCTGCTGTGTTGATTGAAAGTATCCAGGCAGTTTTCTCATGACAGCAGTTTTTAAAGACTCAGTTCTATGGGAATGGAGAAGAAATGGGGACCAACGCTTCCACATACACCTCTAGTCTGTGGTGGGTAGCAAAGAGATCTTCCATAGAGAGCCTGTAGATGTCTGTGCAGTCCACAGTGTTTCGGACTACGGATCACCCTGTAGATTTAAAGGAGAGGGAAAAGCCTATTCCAGACAGAGAACATTGTTTATTTTGTATTTCACTTTTTTTTTTTTTTTTTTTTTTTTTTTTTTAAATAATAAGTTCTATAATTTGTTTCAATAATTTCCATCTTGAAATCTTTTCTAGTTTTGATATCTATTTAGCAGCTGCATGCATGTTAGGCCTTTATGGGAAAAAACAAATTAGATATGAGGGTGAGAATGACAGAGTATCCAGTATTAACACTCATTGGGTGTTAATTCATTTCTGGGTAGTATTAAAGGACCCCTCCCATGGGAAGTATTTTTACCTTGTTTACCAAGAGGAAAATGCTGTCTGTGGTTTTGCTGATGCTGCTCTACTGGGGCAGGACTTCTGCTGAATGTCGCAGCAAAAATCCCTTTATGGTTCTTCAACCAAGTGACCTCCCAGGGAAGATGTCTGGGTCATAATTCCCACAAAAACTGTATGTGGGGGAAAGCAAAAGGAAACACATCTCAGTATTTTTCTTTTAAAACTTTGGTGCTGTTTGAACATGAAACTTGGAGTCAGTTGCTGAAACACCTTCCTCTAGAAACACAGGGCCTGATTCTGAGGGAGATGAGTGAAGTCCTCATACCTCAAAGCCACAGAATTGTAAGTACTGCCAAAACAGGATGGGCCTGAGCCTTTACTTATACACAGAGCGAGTAGAATTGCCTGTGGATTTGACATTCATTTGACATAGCTTGTGCTTTTACATGTCTGGCTTTCCTCGCCAAGGTTTCATAGGATTGTGCACTTCAGTCCAAACTGCTGAATTTCGTGCAGTTTAATTATACCTCACTTTTAGTTATACCTTTTTATGTTTTCATATAGCAATCATTTTTTTTATTTAAACATCTATTAGGCCATGTATTTATTTTTCTATAATCAGCATTTATCCTCTGAATACGTTCTCTGAGGGATGTAATGACAACATAACTAAAGTACCATCAAAAATATGACACTCCTGTGGAGGGAAATTAGAACCGTAATGAACAACACAGAGGCTCTCAATTTTTTACGCACAATTAATATGGCTCCTTGCAAAGTATGTCATAAGAACTCTGAGTTTCCAGCAGGTCTGTGTGTCTGTCTTAATGGCTGTGACCAATTCACCTATTCCTGTTCAGCACCTCTCCAAAAGAAATAGAAACCCTCTGCAGCTGCAGATCCGCGTTCTCCCAACAGCTTCAGCCACCCTCACTGCTATAATTCTCTGGAGAATCTGTCTCTATTTTCTGCTCTACATGATATCCTAAAACATTTTACAGGGCAATACAAGCTGGTAAACACTCACATTTTCACAAAATGAGTGTAAGAACTGCAGCAACCAAGTGACTTGTGCATACCTACTTTTAGCTCTTAAGTGCTCCATCCTCCCTCACTCCTCCTTCAGCTTAATGTCCTAACCTCAGTGATCCGCAGAATTATATAGCTTAATATATGGCTGAATCCATTCGTGAGATTTTATCTTTCCTTATATTAACTTATCCATAGATGATCTTGCAGTGATGGCATATGTTGGAGACAGTCATTTTTAAAGCCATCTGCAGCTGGTTCTTGTGTGAATGCTGCACCCAGCAACTCATGATTCCTCTTCACTACTAATTATTTCCTATGGCTTTTAATACTGCTCTGAGTCTTAGAATAGCTCTGAATGATGATAGACATATATTATTATTACAGGTTGTATTAAGCAGCCGTAGCTCAAGTTCTAATTACATTACCCTTCAGCCACGGCAGCAGTAACACTTGGTTTGGTTCTTGAGTTTCTAGGAATAATCTCACCAGTACTTCTTAGTTAGACTGCAAGGTCAGGGAGAAAGGAAATTCTTCTGCCCTTCTTTTCACGTAGGATCTGAGAGGATATATTGTAAAAAAGGACAAAACTGGTCACGAAAAGAGAGGATTAAAATGAGAGGCTCCATGCGATGCATGCTAACTCCCTACATCCTCACAGGGATAGGAGCTGCAGTGTGATTCTACTCCAGAAAGGCATCCCATGAGAAGTGAGTTGTGGGGAAATGAACCTGGTCTAATAGCAAGCGGGTGCATTTTTGGCTGCTTGAATTCTGGGGCTGATCCACAGAGCTTCAGGGAAGATATGACCGAAAATTTCTAAATCCATCCAGCAAAAACCAGCCATATAAACCCCCTCTTGTTCCCTGCAAGAGGAAAACACTGTGACATCTCCAAGTCTATTGATTTATTTCCATAAAACTATGATTTTTACTTGATTGCATGAAGTCCAATATAGTGGGATCACTGTCGTGTATTCAAGTAATTATGTCTTTTTTTTGTTTTTTGTTTTTTGGACTGGCAAAAGATCCCCGTGATCCCCAAGATCAGCAAAGAAAGGATGGGATATTTGAACTTGGGCACTCAAAACACATCAAAGCCAGGAGTCAGCTAAAATTATTTGCATTTTGTTATTGTTAGTCAGTGGGTGGCCAGGCTCATCATATTTAAAGGGCTGTTAATAACAATTTTGATTTGGGCCTGTAAAATATTTATTGCTGTTTGGTGGTTGTTTATAAATCTTAAGAGAGATATTTTTATGATTTAAAAATGAAATAGAAATATGACAGACATTTCTCAAAAATGTTTTTTATAATTCCTGTGGTATTGGAACGACATGTGCAAACCATAAGGATATGATTTGATTATTTTATGTTTGGTTATCCAAATTCTCAAGCAAATAAACAGCATAAATAACAAAGAGACCATTTCTTTGTTCACAAATTCCTTTATCTGATAATCTCAGGCAGTATAAATAACTAAGGAAAGGTTTTATTATGTAATACTGCACAGCAATATAGCATTGCAGGTTCTTTGGGACAGTGAGTCTCTTTCTACAGTCCCCAGAACATTTTGGCTACTACTATAAACTTATTACAATCCGTTTCTCCACTGTAGGGTTTTCTTACAGTACCTATAAAGGCCAAGCACCTGATAGTAGAATATCTCATTTATTTAGCAATTTCCATTCCTCAGTGGTATGAATTTGTACGTATGTATCTGAGTGTGCACCAGATGGTTTACATTTGTTATGTATGCTGCTGTGAAAATCAATATGCATGTTTATTAGCAATTTATGATTTTCCATAAAAATATTAAAAAATGAATAATAATCACTTTTAGGGATTAAAAGAAAAACAAAAAACAAAAAACAAAAACAGGTCTAGTTTATCAGCTTGAAAATGAATGAAAAGTACTTTCTTACTGTGTTAATTAATTGCAGTTGACAAAAAGTAGGAGCCTTCACTCCTCCTTCCATGTTGCTAATTCCATCCCTCTCTCTCACTCTCTCCCCTCAATTAAATGTATGAGAGTGTCCCCTCCCCTTTTAGAAAGAAGCTTTTAGATTAATCATATTATCTTAAGGTTCCAAATCTCAATGCCTGCGTGACCTTTCTTCCGTTAGAATCCATTATCTTAAACTATCACAATAATCCTGGCTTTAGGGAGGGAGAGCGGGAAGCAAGAATCAAACCTAATAGATGGCAAATAAGATTAATCTATGATCTAAGTGCCGATTACACTTGGCCCTGCCCTTGAACACCCAGGTGTAACCTTGAAATTCACATCCGCTAAGACACTGCAATTGGATTGTGTGTCCCTGAAGGCCTGGAAGGGGCAGCTGGCCAAACTTTACCCATTATTCCCCAGTGAGCCATGAGCTGTCTCAGCCTGCAGCTCTCTTACTTGTGGAATTTGGCAGCGGCACAGCTGAATGTTTGTTTTGGGATGTTTAGCATTTTTTCAGATAAAATAGTTATTTTCAGGTCCTTAATTTTTGTTTGTCAGAAGCAAGCAGCCAGGGAATGGGTGAACTTTTACCTGGACCTCACAAGAGGAGAAAGCTCTCTTTTCAAAATCTGATAAGTCTGCAGAAGAAAACAGAGATATTTTCTTTCTTTATAGGTTGACCTATGGACTCTGCCAAAAAAAATCTTCCATGTGAACTTGAGTTTGCAAGGCCCTTTTTTCTTTCCCAAAAACTCTGTGTTCTGAAAAAGGACATCTGTGACAAGATGGAACTTGGCACCAGTAACTCATGTACTATGGGTGAAGCATGCTCAGAAGAGGCAGACCCAGAGGTAATTTTTCATCAAATAACTTTTTAAAGCCATTATTATGGCTTTAAAACATATAAAACATATATTATACATTTCCTCTGCTGCTGGCAGCTTCAATGGACAGGACAGGATTGATTCGGGTATGGCAGCAGAACTTTTTTCCTTATTTATATGTAAGGCCAGATTCTCAGCTGGGATGAAACAGGGCTAACTTGCTGGCTTTGCATTTATCCTGCCTGAGAGACGTCAGCTGGGGAGGTGGCAGTGATGATCAGCTGAAGCCATTTACCCTCCATCAGCTCCATTTGGAGGCAACATCTAAACCCTACGAGGAAGGGCCGATTTTTCTTCGTACCTCACCTTGCACAGCAATACCCAGTGTGACAACAATTCAAGAGATAAAGATTTAGAAGGAAAACACAATGTAGGAAATGTCGACGTGAAGCACATCTGGTGGCTGGCTAACTTTACAACAGTCCTTCGGTAATCTCAAAATTATAGGGATATGGAAGAAGAAAAAGAAAGATAGAGGCAAAATCATACATATAACAGCTACTGCAGTGGTAGCCTGGCAGTATTGGAAGTTGTCTGAGAGGTAAAGCTTTACAGCTTCCAGTGGTGAATCCATCAGAGGACCAAGAGAGCCCCGACCTGCCAGGATACTAGCAGTGATGTTGGGAGATGTATGAAAGATGCAGTTCCCTTCATGCACAGAGAACTGTTGCTTTGCTGCTCCTTCACTTTCTTTGCCAGCTTATGAACATCGGCTCTCATTGATGTTTTAAAAGCTTCCATTGCTGTGGCGACAATCTGTAAACAGCATGGTACAGTTTGTCACTATTTTCCTTGCCCAGAAGCTGGTCTAATAGGACTTTTGTGTGCTATGTGGGTATGTAAATAAAAGAGGAGATACCTGACCCAACTTTTATTTAATTTAAAAAGAAATCAATGAAAAAGGGGAAAAAAAAAAGTTACAAAATGGACTGGCCAAGTGGACTTTGATCAAAAATTAAATCTGCTCTCACTAGTATTGATTAGTAACATAACTTCTCTCTCAATTCTCTTTGTGAGTACATGAAAATCTACTGGTGCTAAAGGTGCCTGAACTTGTACTGTTGTGAAATGTTGCAATCGTGGGCTACCAGGCTAAATAATCAAAACAAGTATAAATCTGGCATAAGATCTCTATTAATTCTACAAAAAGGCTTCATAAAGTATTTGAATTTTATGGATATGTCTCTTAAGAGCCCGATAGGCTAAGCACCGAGCCACAAACTGAGCTTTCCTGAAATTGGAGTAACTGAAGAGCTGGATACCGTCCCATTCTGAACAGTTGATCCGGTCTGCAGGCAGCTATGAACCAACAGCTGGGACACTCTGAAATATGGAGTGTAAAGCAAAACTTGGAGACAAGAATGAGGATGATGATGGGCTGCCAGGAGGATGCCCAGGATGTGTGGTGATACCTAGAAACAACCAGAATACACCAACGCTGTGTCTTCTGTCCAGAGAGGGTTAACTTGCACTTGCAGCAGGCAGCGTCATGCCATTAAGTCAGGGAGAGTAATGAAATTTCATTTAATTTGTCAGGAAGAAAGTGCTAATGTTAAAAGGCATTTAATAAAAAGGGGGAGATTCTTTGAAAGGAAGCCTTTAAGTAATTACTTCAAGTGTCTTAGGCCTACTCACCAGAATATTTACATTAGTGTCTCCCAGCGCCAAAGTGTAATTAAATTAGTGCAGCATTTACATTCCGCCCTGGTTTTTTAGAAGTGTGATTTTATTAACAATTCTCCAAAAAAAAAAAAAAAAAAAAAAAAAGGAAAGCCAGTCTTGATTTAATCAAATCAGGTGTTAGTATTTTTTGTAATATTTTCACTGAGAAAACTGTCTTGGAGGTGGAGCAAAGGAAAGAAAACTTGATCTAAGTTTTGAGTTCTACTTGGAGAAATGCCGTTTCTTTTCTCTGCCCTGGGACTGAAGTGGAAAACTCTGTCCAACACTGTACAAAAGTCACCTGGTGGAGTTTTGAGTGTAAATCTGGTTTTTTTGTTTTTTGTTTTTTGTTTTTTCACAAAATGCCAAGGTGCATGTGTGAGAAGGACAGACGAAGATAGAGTAGCGAAGATGGCAGCAGAATGAAGAAATAAGACATAGCCTGGGGGTTGCTCATCTCATGGTGATGAACCAGACTTAACATCAGGAGATAAGAAGCTGCAGAATACTAGAAAATCTGCTTTGCATTTTTAACTGCTAAAAATTTTTTTTGGGGGGAAAATGTATATGTAAGACCCTTCCAGAATAGGACAACTTTTCCACCCTGGAGTAAATGGAATATGTTCTATTTTCGTTAGCTTCATCAGAAATGTGGCATCTTAAAAGTCAAGTAAAACACAAAAGAGAGAGAGATAGAGAGAAAGAGATAAAGAATAGATTAGTTCATTACACACAGCCACTACCGGAAGACACTGGAAATGGATAGCCAAAAAAGAAAAAAAGCAGTGGAACATTCAAAAAATTACCTCTGAATTTATTTGACCACTGCACATCTCTTTGCTCAAAAGCGTAGCTCTGTGCTTCCATCACAAAGTAACTGATGTCTTCTAGTTGTTAAATTCAGCTGGGACACACATTCACGTCCCTGAAAGAAATTAAGCAAAACAGAGATTTAAAGACACCTTCATTTTTCTTCATTATCTAGAGATAAATTGGTTGATTGAGTTTTATTTTATGTGGAAGTTCATTGATTAGAAATGTATTTTGAATTATGATGAATACAGGTAAACTAAGAAACATTTTCCAGAGTTGCATCAGAACAGTACCTACAGCTATATAAAACCTAAAGCCATCATAACTGCTGCACAACTTCCACTCAGACATGGGGTTCAGGTCTCATCTGTGTCTATTCATCAGCCAGGGTCTCTGGCAAATTATATGCAAGTATCTAGCAAAGTAAATTCTTATTTCCTTTGTTTGTTTTCAGGTAGTCCTGCATCTTGTAAATGGCTCTGGGTGAATCCGGAGAATTGCATGTAATTTGTCAGGTAAAATATTATTTTAAAAATAATTTGACTGAATGCTCACCAATTCAGAGTTTAAGGGTCCTTCATTAGCCCTTGATTTTCACCACGTTTGGTTTGTCTGTAAAAATTGAAAAATTAACATGCACAGAAATTAAAAGCTCTCTCCACCCTGCAGACTTTGTGGCTGGGAAAAATCATTTGCTTTTGCTGCTACTTCTCTGAGCAACTGCAGTGGGGGTGGCCAAGTTTTGGTGCTAAATCAAAGGATTTTGCAGGATAACAATAGCTGAGCTATTGGTAGGGGAAGAGCATGCATTTGTGACTCCATCCTAGATACAATGGTTTCCTCTTCCTGTGGTACAGTGGATTCAAAGGGAATCTAAAAACTCAAAGATCCTAGAAAAATATTTCAGCTGGGGGGAAACTGTCCAGTGTGTCACTGAAATGGTGACAAGCTGACACTCTCAGAAGGAAAAGACAAAAAAAAAAAAAAAAAAAACCCAGCTAAAAACATAAAGCAATGCATTCTGCTTCTTCCTGCCAGGGTTGTGATGTTATTTACAACTTTGTTAGTTCTCTTGTATGTGTTTGGTTCAAAGGGGCTTTTTTAATTTTTCCGGTGCTCCAGAGTCTTCACAACCTTTGAAGGGTGACTGACTAAGAGTTGTGGTTTGAGATTGCTGCTTGAGTCATAGCGAACACATTTTAAAGAGATCCTGGCAGGGACACAGGCTGGTCAAGATAGCCTGGATGATACTGAAGTGGTTGGAAGTGGATCTGGATGGATTGAACTCATGGCTCACTCAGAGTCAAGATCATAAAAGCATGGCATGGTTTGAGTTGGAAAGGACCCTTAAAGGCCATCTAGTCCAACTCACCTGCAATGAACAGGGAAATCTACAGCTTGATCAGAGTGCTCAGAGGAGGGAAAGGACGATAAAAGCATTTGTACACAAAAATACTCTGAGCCACAGAGGTAAGTGAGCTCTCAACATTCTTCACATCCCATTGGGCCTTTTTCAGTTCAGTCTGTGGGCAATCATAGATGCCCACTAAACCACATCTTCATTGTCGTTACCTTAAAGGATACCCATCCTATCCTCACCTCTCACAACTAATTTCTATATCATTTCATGTGTTTGAATTTATTCTATTCTTGATGCCTGTGGTATTGGATTATTGATTGCAGAGGTTTATCTGTGAACAAAAAACATGTGGTGATGTATGCTAGGATTGGTACCATCTAACTATGGCGTGTCTGCACTGTTCCTCCAAAGAAAACCTACCAACCATTTCAGAGGCAGAGATTACTGAATCCTGTGTCTATTTGCATGTGGTTCAAAATAAGCCCCTGGTGTTTGAGGAAGGTAAAACACATTTCATGCTGCAGCCCTTTTGATTGCACATCTGTGAGAGAAATGGTGCTTTGAGGCTGCAGCCCAAGGCCGTGCAGGCCTTCGTGCTGAGCAGCACGATGTTCCTGATTAGGGCAGGAATAAATCCATCCTGAGTGCAAAAGAATTACATGATCTGGAGAAAATGGAACTTTCTGAACGTTGAGAACTTCTGAAATGCTGTACTTTTCCTATAGATGCCTAAGCAGGAGCTAATCTCTTTCAGAGATCTGGTCTTCTCTCTTAAAAACACATTTTTTTATGGTAGAACAGCTGTTGTTGCTTCTGTTGTGATGATCTGGGTGAAAAGTTTGGTAAAAGAGAGAGAAGCTTAAAAAAAAAAAAAAAAGCAAAAGGCAAAAAAACTCAGAAAAAATGCCTCCCCAAACCCACCCACTGAAAAAAAACCTTCTGCTCTGGCATTCCAGAGACATACAGCTTCTAGTGTTTTTTAATGCAATTAAAACAAATGCTGACGTTATTTATAACTAAATTACTGGCAGGAAAAACAACTAATGACCAAAACCCACATTTGTACCATTAAAAAAAAAAAGAGTAAGAATATCCTAAAGGGAATGATTTGTAAGGATGTGGTTAAACCTATTTATACCCTGGGTTCTATTTGTTTTACAGCCAGCGGTGCACGAACAACATGAAAGGTTATCTTTGACAAGGTTTTAGCTATTATTTTCTTCCAGTGAAATGGTATTTCTTGAGAAAAAAAGGTCTTCAGAACAAAATAACAATAAATCCTGATTTAGATACATAAAGCTGCCATCGATATCACATAATATCAGTGTTCTTTCTCACTCGATACAGGCGTTTTTAAGATAAATGGTAAAACTGAACTGGAAATCCATCTGGCCAGCTGCCTGATCTAATGAATAACCCCACTTTGGCTCCTGCAATGTAAGCAGAAAGAGTTCTCTCCCGGCCGCTTTCGTCTGTCATGAATCTACAAGACAGCCGACATAATATCTGGGCGACAACAGCGTGCTAACAGTGCAGTGACTTCCATTTTCTTTGCTTTCTATTGATTTTCACTTAATAACTGGCGAAATACTAAACGTCCGCCCTGAGTACCTAATAAATCCTGCCTGAGCTTTTTATTGAGGAGAATTTAATAAAAACAACCATTGTGGCTGAGGGATTTTTCTTCTGGACAGAACACGGTGAGGGGTGGGTAGTGTGTGTGAGTAAGGGGGGAGAGACATTTGAATTTTCTAATTTTTTTTTTGCAAGCTTTTCCCCCCTCCCTTCTCGTCACTGCCCTCTTGAGGACTCAACATCATTTGTTTCAGAGAAACTTGGTTTCTTTCCTTTGCATATGTTTTCTCATTGTCCAGAGATGGCCACAGCACATGCACGTGTAGTCACAAGACAGAGAAGAAGGGTGTTTACAGAAGGAAGGCACTTCCATCACGGCCATTCTACTCGCCCACATTTGCTTCTTCAATCTGATTTCAATTTTGTTAATTGTTATGAAGGTTCTCTAATTGCCAAGTGCAGGGGCTGTCAGAATTCTATAGTAACACGCTTTTTATTGTCCCATTTTACAGCTGTTTTACGTTTGACACTTGACACGCAGGCGTGAAGATCCCCTGTCGTATTGGTTGGCTACTGTAACAAAATGGCATTTTTAAGTTATACGAAGTGTTAAATCTGCATCCAGTTAAAACCATAACAAAACAAAACCCGGTGGTTTCTAAGTTGACAATCCTAATTGTTAGCTTGGGAAAAAAAAAAAAAAAAAAAAAAAGCTGGAAAAACAAAAGTAAAAGGCCCCAAACCCTCTTTCTCTAGCTGTCCACCAAGCATGAGTATGAATGTTGATATATATGTTACATGCAGTTTTCTTTTCTGAAGATGAATCAGGAGAGACCGGGATGACATTCCTAAGTACAACATATTATTTCCTTTGTATAACCTCCTGGAATGGCTCTCTTTGCCAATAAACTCAACGGAGTTCCTATTATACAAAGCTGCTCTTTTAAAGCATTTGACAGTTTTTATTTTAATTGACACAGAGGCAGTTTCAAAGTCATTGGGTTTAATGAACAATCATCTTAGCATTTGCCTGCTCAAATCCTCTTATTCCCAGCAGTTCACAGTAAAGTTTATTCTAACAGTTGAAATTAAAAAAGGAGAGAGAGGCAAGTAGAAATGTTGAGGAGCTTATATAAAAATCTGTGAATCTCAAGTTTTGTGCAGTGCTGTTATGAAAACTACTCAGCCGTGCAAAGCAATAAGAGGTTTAATTACTCATTGGTAGTCCCTCTGCTGCTCCTGATGTGGTGTGTGGTGTTGCAGAGGCCTGGGAGAGATAATTGAGGCATATGGGTGGAGTACAGCACTGATTTGGCAGCTCATTTATTTTTTTCTTTTGTGTGTGTGCGTGCCACTGACTGTGTCACTTCTCCTATGGGATGGAAGGTGCAACAGTTCATTGTGGAAAAGTACCAGTTGATGACAGATCCTGGTTCAAGCTGTGCAAGGATCTTGTAGCTGTGGGATGGGGTTCAAGTTCCAGAGAGGATGGATGGTCTCATGAGACTTTCACATGACTTCTGCCTGACACTGGGAGAGTATTGTGGAGGGAGTGGGGTGTGTCCTGGTGTTCTGGCAAGTCTACACTTAATCTCATCTTAATCTTAAATCTTAATCTCATGGTCACAAGAAATAGCGTGAGAATGAACCAAAAAGATCAGTTTTCAGGTTTGGCTTAATCAATCCAGTTTAGACACTACTGGGCTCAATAGTCTAGAATTTATTGTCTTTTAATAGGCATAACACTAGTGACAGTTATGGTCTTACCCATCTATGAGGTATGATGGAGGTAAAGAAAATCACACAATCATTGAACCTACCAAATCTGGGCCCTAAAAGCCACGCAGAAGGAGTTTTCAAATCCAGAAATTTTGAAGTTCATTTCTGGTTTGATATCCATTTTTATGTGAATTAGTTCATGAACCACTTCCATGTGGCAACTCCGTGAGTATCAGAAAGTACTAAAATTTCTGCTCTGGTTTATTGCTGAATGCTAATGATATTCAGCAGCTGGAAATTAAAAGGGCCACACTTGTGGGATGCGGCCAAATTACCCTTCACAGCTAACCTTCAAGTGCTACCTGTCTTTAGAGACTGCAGACCTCTTTCCTAAACCAAAATCTTTTTGCAGTTTTTACCAAATGGATAAAACCAGAAAAAAGAAAAAAGAAAAAAAAAATCATGATCTAAATGGAGTAATAGAGTGACAGGACATATTTGCATTCTGAATAGATTAGCTGGTCTTTTAAATATTTATTTGTGTCTATTTTCAAAGTCCTTGATTCTCTGAAATTTTCCAAACACTTCTGATTTGACAGACTGGGAAATCTGTCTGCAGTTCCAATTATACTTGAAAAGATACATACAAATGATTTGACAAGTTAAAAATTAGCAGCAAGTTCTATACCTAGCTAGATTTTGTAAGCAGCAGTCATAATTCATGATACTTCATTCTAAAGTTCATGTAAATTCTGTGTGTGTGGGATCCTTTAATTGGTAAGCATAAAGGTGTATTGCTATTCACCTAATGTATTCTATTGCTCAACAAAAGGTTGTTGTAGTGAGCTCTGATTGTGACAAATGATTTACTATTAGGAACATTCTGTAATTATTGTTCGGTGGTACCACAGACCGATACATCATTAACATGATAGACGACCTTTTATATCAGCAAAAATAACTAAATTAATAAAAATGGCTTCATTCCAAACCCTGTCAGAAAGCCAATACTCGAAACAATCAAGTATCAGAGATACCTGAAAAGACCAGAGTTATATTTTTGTTAAGCAAATCTTATTGTTTGAGCAATAACATTGACATGTGCTGTAGAATGGGGGGCTGGATTTTCAGCTGCTGTGAATCAATAGTCTAATTAATTCTATTTAAGAAGAGACACACTACTCCACATCTGTAAGGGGTATGATATGTTGGATTTTATTGTGTTGCTAAAAGGAGGTACGATGCAAATGAAGTGTCAGAAAACTTTTCAAGAATTCTGGGAACTGCTGCAAGTGCTTAGGCTTGCTGGTTCTTCAGACAGATTCCGTTCCCAATTGCATCCACACAAATCCAGTGTGACTCTACTAAATGAAATACTTCCCCCAAATTTACACCAGTGTCATTTGAGTTTGCAGAGGCCAGACTAACTCTTAAACCATGACAATTTAGAAGAGCACCCAAAGACTTGATTTTTTTTTTTCTACCAAAGAAAAAAAATTTAGACCGTTCTGGGCAATTCTTCTATTGTATTGTATTCCTACATTCATCCTTTCATTCCAGATGAATTCCTTCCTCTTGTCATTCCCACCAAGCCACTCACTACCAAGGTAACTCACAAAAAAATTTAAATAGGTAAACCAAACTCAGTAGGACAGCTGCTAAATGCTCAGTGTCATGTATATCTCTATTTTTTCACTCCTGGTCTTGTTTGAGTGTAAGTTTCCTTTGGCAGGGACTGTTCTGTGTATGGACGTTTCACACCTAGCTTTCTCAGTTGTCTGTGTAGACAGCACAAGGATAAATATGGCGAACAAATATTAGGTGACTGGATCACAATGTGCTGCATGAGGTTTACTTCACCATAATAAATTCTCAGGGCGTTTTTACAGTGACATGCTGAAAGAAGAGCAAAAAACCAATTAATGCTCAGGTCACTGTGTTCTAATAGGTAAGGAGCAAGTTTTTGGGACTATTCCTTCAGCAGCTGTGTTACTAACTCACTGCGTAACCTTCAGCAAATCCCTTTATTGCATCTCTGTAAAATATTGGTAATGAATTTACGTTTTGTAAAGTGCTGGTGGATCCACAGATGAAAAGCACTATATAAGCTAAGTGTTATTAATGTGATTCACTCAGTGAAATGAAATCTCTGTTGAGAAAAATACTGTTCTGTAAAATTTATATTTAAAGTCACATATTTTACAGCATGAAGAGAATTAAGGTTGTGTCACTGTTTCCAACATATAAACTATATTTAGCAATTTATTCCTTGGCTTCTCTCTAAGTAAAAGAAAACAGCTTGATGCTTAAAAATAACATTTCGTAGGCTTGACGTCCGTAATTTGGACCTGAATGTTTTTTAAACAATTATTTAAAAGAATGAAAAATCTCGTTCTGCTCATATAGAATAAATTTTAATTCTAGCAAGGGCCATATGTATGAAGATTAGCCATTTATCTTGAATAGTTATTTCAGTTTCATATGAACATTGCTACAGAAAAATGTTTCTGATGTCAACCATTTCTTTATTTTCTTTTAATGCACAGCTTGCCTTTTCTGTTGCATTCTGTGAAACAGTGGTGTAGTGTTTGAATACTGGGCAGCTCAGTTTTTTAGTGAAACTTCTCTAATTTTACTGCTGAGATGGTCTAAGCTGCAAAAGGTTATACAAACCACATAAACGTTGGGAAGTATATTAGACTCTTAATAATCTTTTGATTTTATTAATTGATATTACCTGTAATATATTCAAGGAAATTGATTCAGTCATCTAAGTTTTAACCCAATATTCTTCTTTCTTTCTAGGTAGCTCTATTATTCCCGAGCTTCTCTCATAATTCATTTGCAAACATTTTTTGTATAGGAAGCTCCTGCTTTGCAGTGGTTTCACCAGGAACGAAGCCCAACTTTTTTGAGTCAGTTACTTGGGAGTTATCAGTGGAATCTAGGGAAGAAAGGAAAAGCTTTTATGGAACTTTATCACATAATATAACTAGTCAAGGTAAGAAGAATGTGGATTTTATCTCAGGAGAAACATTCTGATTAAGAAAACCAACCAAACAGCCGAACAAAAGGTTGATCTAAGGACAAGGTTTGTCTCTTTGGCTACTGCTTGCCAATATTATTACCAGAGACACTAGAGTGATCTTAGCCATTGCCTCTTATGTGAAGGTCGGACTAAACTGACGCCTTTTTCTTCTAGTTTTGACATGTGAATAGCAACTCTAAGCACATATCACTTGATCTTTACTTGAATTTATTCCCATTGTATTTATCTTATTTTTTATAGAAATCTGTTTGGTCCACTGTGATGTTCAAAAATCCTTTGAGGAACTTGAAGAAATGCTGGAACACACAGCTATTTTCTTCTACTAGATCCAGATCCAGATGGATAGAATGCCCTATTGTGAATGCCTGGCCACTAGACAACATTAGCTTCACAAAAAGTTTGGAGGCTATAGTTAACCTGGAAAAGCATAGCTCTGAACTGGAAGCCGAGAGAACCTACAGCAAAATGTAAATGTGAACTCATGTGAGTGAGGAGGTGAAGCACTGTTCTGTAAAGAAAAGCATGCAACAGCCCCTGGAGCCATGGCCCTGTTGATTAATGCACTAGTGTGAACTTTCTTTGTAGCAAGGTCTGTAGATGCTTTTAATTTCAATATAATAAAAGGGAATTAGGCAGGTATCAAGACTATTTCTATTTTCCAGCAACAAAAAGAAAAAGCAAGCCTTGTTAATTGAGCATTTTCTTACATGGAGACATTAAATAAATCTTGTGGCTTATTTTCCTTTTTTTTGAATAGGTCCTTATTTTCCAGATTTTACACTCAAGGAGATATACTTTATTCAGTTCTTCTAGACCAAGGCTGGACTCCTTCCTAGCCATAGACAGAGATTCTTTGAAATTGTTTTCAAAGTCCAATGCTGGCTGAAACTATTTTAGGTCTTGTCTTTGCTACCTTGGCCCTATCTGAAAGGAAGAAGTTTGCCCTTGAAAGAGAGTTAAACTGCTGTGATTCACCGACTTGGAAGAATTGCAGGATGCTGACTGCCTGAAGTGGTGCCTCCCGCTGGACCAGTGCAAGTTTCCTTCCTTCTTGTCTGACCAAGCCATTAAGAAGTTAGTCAGTTCCCTGAAGGTTACTTCCAAGGAATCTACAAAAAGGAAATATCCAGCCCTGGAAAGGTAATTTACCTAGACAGGATTTGAAATGCGAGGTACTCAGTTGAGGGAAGAAAGTCCTATATCCCATCTGGCTGCAAGAATGCAGCTTCACAAGGTTTTTATCCCATGAGATAACAACTGCAGACATTCTACTGGGAGATGTCCTATAAAATCTGAAGTACTTGGAGATCCACATTTTCTCTCATCTGGCCTGTTCAAGTCAGAACTGTGGTGCATCAGTGTTCTCAGAGAAACAGTTTTGGGTAAAGCAGCATCCTCCTTTTGAGAATGGTTTGAATCCTCATCTGTGTGTGATGTCTCCTGAACAGCAGCTATTTTTGACTTGGTCGAGGCACACGTGGGAGGAAATGCCAGCTATCTGCCTTCGGGGACTAGCTGTAACTTGCTTCCTTTGTTCTTAAGAAGCAGATCCCCAGCTGGTGTGAAATGGCATTTCAGAAGTGCTACTCCTGTGAGAAGCCAGTCCTAAAGCCTGCCACACTGATGGAGCCCTTTGCTCAGAAGCAAGTCTCTGGGCCAAAGTATGTTTTACTTTACCCAGAAAACAGTGATGTTATTTGAAATCAAAGAGACTTTTAGGCTGAGGAAAGTGTGCTCAATATGTGATTTTTAGGGTCAGAGATAGAATGAGAGAATTTCCTTTTACTTCCTTCTCCTTTTTTAAATCCCAGTTTACTCTGGAGGAAAATGCAATAGAAAGTAATTTATAAAGGGATAGAGTGACTGCACGGAAATTCTAGTCTGAATTTGCCCCTTCGGTCCCTTTTGCAAATGAAATTAGTCAATTAAGCAAGACAGGATTGGCCCACAGGATGGCTATAGTTTAAAATATGTTTTTTCCCATCACTTCTTTCTCACTCCAGCCACACAACACCACAATAGCATATGCAGAAATGTTGAAGATATCTTCATAAAACAACCCCTCAAAAATGAAAACAATAAAACCAGCCCCCTCCAAAACACACGTGCATACAAATCAAAAGAAAAAGTAATTGGCCCAAAAAAGTGTCTCCTAAGTGTCAGTATAATGAAAAACCTTGACAACCATCTGAAAACCCATTCAATACCCAGATGCCTCTTTGTTTCAAGTTTTGGGAACATTTACCTGCTTGTTCAATATACTGGGCTTAAAGCATGCAAAATGATGCAACAGGAGGAGTTTGTGAAAACTCCTTATTCCAATCTCCATTATGAATTCAGAAAGTGAAGTTTCATAGATCAGATGTACAAGTTGCTTCCTTTTCTTTCCTCCTTGCTTCGCTCAGTCACCGTGCCTGTTTCCTATCTATTGAAAGTGATTTTCTTTCAGGATTTGCTCTTCACTGTGCTCTGCTGATACAACGTGGCTCTACAAGTGCTGGATATTCTCATTGTGAAAAAGAATATGCCTGATTTATGTATTTATTATTATTATTATTATTATTATTTTGTTGTTTTTGTTATTGTAAATGGCCAAGCTTAATTTAGCTGTATTATTTTGCTTCATCAAGGGAAATCAAGGTTTCCAAATAATCATTTATGCTCTTGGAAGTTTCTGGAATCCTCCACACACCACAACGTATTTATATACTGCTGGGGAAATGTAAGCCACGTAGCATGTATGCTGAAAGTCAAAACCTAGGACATATTTGTGCTCTACTTCCAAGAACTGTCCTTTTCTGTAATGGTCAAGCAGAAAGGGAACAGCAGTGAAGATTTATGAAAATTTGTCTGCTCACCTGGGGAGAAAGGAACACTTTCTTGTTCTGGTCAATGATATTTCATCCTTTACACCATTCTTATGACTCAAGGCTGTCTACAACATGATAGTTTAAAAGGACTGTTCCTTCCTCGGGTGCAGCTCTGATATGGATGCATAAATGCATCAGAATTTTGTTAAGTCTGAAACACACTCTTTCTCACAATTTTTGATGTTAAAGATAGAGCTGTCTCTCGCAACACAACAGGCCTCAGACTTTCACAGCTCCAAGACATAGATGTCTGATTACTTAAGCTCTATTTGAAATTAAATTCCAGCCTCAGGGGCATTTTGATAATAAATTCATTTAGGGAAGAATTTTCTTTCATAGACACAAACATCCTCTGCAGCCATGCTCTGTGCCTGTATATCTGCACAGAAAATTTCAGGGTACTTTCCCCACATTTCTTCTTCCTCTATTCGGTTCTACAGTTTGCCTACCTGATTCACCACTTCTTTTGGCAGGTAATACCTTCCCGCACTTGACTTAGCTTTATTGCACTTCCAAGTTTTCCTCCAGCTAAGCATGTCTACATCACTCCTTAAATCTGCCTTGGAGGATGCTAGTACATCTGAGCCTCCTTTTCACCTCTTAATCTTAGTCTCTTTTTCATAGCAGTGCTGAGTGCTAAAAGTGACTTTTTGTTGCTTCTCCCCAGCATCTCCCTTATTTGAGGGATGCAGAGAGAGGAATTAGAAAGCAAGCTGGAAGTGAGACACACAGAGTTGACACTGGCTGAATCCGGGTTCTCACTGAGCACCATGGGTGGGGAGAAAGGAGAGTTCAAGGCAACTCATGGGTGAGTTTAGCCTGAGTCCTGATCCCGAGCTGATACTTGTCACATGTGGAAAAAAAGAGAATTTCAGAAGAAAAAGAGATTTTGCCTTCCTTGCAGAGAAAGAGGACAGGTAAATAGAATTTTAAAAATGAGGCTGAGAGAAGTGAGTAGCATTCTGCTGGCGTTCATTCCCCCAGGAATCATTTCTGATCCTGTAGTTTTGTTTCTAACAAATTTAGACCATATTTTCCTGTTGCTGTATTTCAACCTTCATTTGATACCAGGCTGCAGTGGCATATAACAGTGATCAAAATGAATGTTGAATTCCCAAGGACTTTACTGAGGTTGCTGTACCCAACACTTAGAAAAGCATTTCAAAAAGGAGACCAAGGATTATTATTCCCGTTTTATGGATACACTGTAATATTACTGCAGACATCAAAACAAAAGATTGTCTTGCACATATTTCTTGTACATAGGAAACCAAACAGAGAGGTGGAAATCTCAAGATAAAGGATATTCCAGCAAATTTGTAGACTGCTTCCAGCAAAAAGATAAGCGCTCCATCTTCTGTGGTTTGCCTCCACTTGATTTCACAGATTAACCTCAGCCAGGAAAAGGCAGAGAACATTGATGAAGGACTTGCAGGAGTTTTCCTTGTAGCTAAATTCTGCTATCAACCACTTCTCAGGAAATTTTGTTTACAGGGACTGGAGTTTAGCACTGCATTTGCATTCAATGATAATGATTTTCTTTTAGTCCAGCTGGGATAACTGCAAAGATAGTGCCCAACTGCAACTACATCGAAGGGAGAGTGCAAAACAGATTGCACTTCTATGACAAGTGGAGCAGTGGGAAGGCAAAATGATCAAGAAAAATCCTCACTGTTAGAGCCATAACAAGGACTCTCGATTATGCAGGTTAAAATAACTTCGTGGCAGTGCCTTCTATCCACTTTTATTATCATTTCCAAGCATGGCACTTTTTTTTTTTTTTTTTTTTTAAAGCAGGTAAAGCTTTGAAAAAATAGCCCGGATCTTTAGATAGAATTGAATGTTCTGTGACTTTAAATGAAAGCTCCACTGTTGTTGGGCAAATAAATTTAAACCACTTAACATGGCAGAGAAGGTCAGGCAAGCTTATTATAGTGATCATAGCGTTACAGCTATTGCGATTGACCGCTGCTCTTTGGAATCACCAATAATCAGAGGCCGCAAGCTGTGTTTGCAGAGAAAGGTCATCATTCATTTTTTTCGAAGCATTAATATCTTTTGTTTGTTTGGCTCAACATGAAACAGGAATCGATAGAGGTAATTCACAGAGCAATTAGCCCCTCATCTGTCAAACGGTGTCTGGGTGTATTTAACAAAAAGACCTTTGGAAAGGTTTAAAAAGGAGGAAAGTGCCTGTACAATCAACAATTTATATTTTCTACATGACACATTGTGTATGTATCTGTGAAGAGAAGGGACCTTGGGACTAAAAAAATATACATAAAACATGCTGTAAATCTGTACTCAGACTTTGAAAACCCACAGTGAGACAAACTGTTAACTGACTTGGAAAAGTTTTCCATGCTGTTCTTAGCAAAGATAAAAATTTTCTATCCGAGGCTCAGGGAACAAGTTAGACAGTTGTTCAAAAACTTGTTGGATTAATTACATGAAAGAGAATGAGGCTGCCTGTAAAACATATGAGGGCAGAGACAGAGGCAAAAGGTCTCTTGCAGCCCTGCTCTTACAGTTCAGGGTATTTCAAGTCTCTCTCCTTTTTTTCTCTCTTTCTTTCATTTTTTATTAATTTCCCAAAGACTTTTCTGTACTGGGACACTTGGGAGAGTTAGGAAAATAGAGAAAAAGCTCAGAAACCAGAAGATAAGTTATTGCTCTGTTACACTTATGCAGCCTTTATATAAGCACTGGTGAACTCTCAAATTTGAGAGACTAAAGTGGTCTGGGAGGTAAAAGCTACAGCAGATCAAGGCCACTTTATTTCTGAATATGAGTGTCTCCCAGGGGATTTAATACACTTAAAGAGCTGGCTGTACAGTATCTGTGTTTGGTGGTAGAAGACTGGCAAGGAGCACACAGACTATTAAAAGAAGGGTGTATTTTAGAGGTGTCATAAAAGGTTTGGAGGTCGTCCCAGAAGTTCAGATGCTTATTCCAGATAAAAATTTGGCTATCTCAGCCTCTAAAGAATAAGTAGCTGGACTTTATTAGATGAGTAACTGGAGGGTAAGTTTTGCTCAATTTTTTGTCTCATTGCTGAAATTCAATATAGCATCAGGGAGTTGGTGGAAGCTAAAACCTCCTCTGGAGTTCACGACAGTTAAAGTGGATTTTTAAAGTCTCACCAGACAGCTTAGGATTTTTATTAATTGGTACTTTCATATTCTTGCTGATTTTTCACCTTTCCTGGAGCATTAAAGTTTTTTCTTTATTTCTTTGTCTTAAGGCACAGAAAGTGCTGTGGAGGCCACCAATAGATAACAGGGTTCGTTTTGCTTAATTGAAGCCTTCAGTTGAATCTTTGGTGCTGTAGGCCTGTGAAAATGTGCATACAATTCAGTATGTTTCTAGCACGATAGTACACAGTAAGGTCTTCAGGTATGGAAAGGTGTGTTAAGCCATCTTTCCTACTACGTCAGGTTCTCATCATGTTCCTTAAAGCATCAACCCTGTATCATTGTCAAAAGCACCAAAGAAACATGATGGAAAAGCAATAAAAAAAAAACCAACTTCTTAGGCACTGTTGATACTTCAAAGTTGCTTCTGGTTTCTATTTATTTTCCTTTATCTGAGTCCTACTTGTTTTCAACCAAAATTTATATGATTTTGTTTTGAGCCTTTTATTAACCAAAAATACTGGCTGAAATTGAGACTTACTTTATAGATGCTCAATTTAAATTGCAGTGAAATTGGGAGATTTTATTCATGACATCAAAAAGCCCATCAGCGATCAGTG